CTGCCCCCCCCCCCCCCCCCCCCCCCCCCCCCCCCCCCCCCCCCCCCCCCCCCCCCCCCCCCCCCCCCCCCGATCCTAAGATTGAAAAATGGTCGAGAAAAGGAAGATGGACGCCTTCAACGCCAGACGGACAAGAAAATAACGTCGTCGCGTCTTTTCTCTAAACGAGGGGATATCTTGAGGGTTGTTGTAAATTCGGGTTCGTAAGACTAGGAAAATGGGCGGTTCTCGTTCGGCCCCCGTTTGCCGATGAGAAAAATCGAATGGTCCAAGGCTCGCTTGTGGTCGGATCCCATAACGAGGAGCAAGGATTAGTTTCATCCGGGGTACGCGTATCCAAGTTACTCTAACTGAGGCGATCTGAACTCTTGTCCAAGTTCGGTTCTGTGGGGTTCGATGGAGGAAGTTCGTAGGTTACGCAAATGTGTCTCCTTTAACACTCCGCTGGGAAGAATACGAAACCTGATGGAAGCCAAAAAGCGATAAAAATTCAACTCGTGCCGGGTTAAGGGGGCGCAGGCTCAAAAAAAGAAGTGTTGAAACGCAGTTATGCCGATTTAGTTGTCGCGGTCACCACCATCTTTAGAAACGTAGACATAGTCAGTAAAAGTTCGAGAACAAGCGGCGCCGTCACCAGAGGAGCTATGTTTGACAAGTACGTATTCACCTTCGCTGGCTGTGGGGGTCGGAGGCATAGCTCCTCCATGGGCAGGTGCTTGCTGTACCTGTTTAGCAGTTCCTGGTCGAGACCTTTGCTGCTGCTGTGCGAGATCCTTCTCTGTAGATGCCGCCTTGCCGAACGCATCGCTAATGGCTTGCCGTTGAGACCGTGGGCTCACGCTACCGGCGACTCCCGGGGGGTTCTGCTTCTTCAGTCGTTCTTCCATCTCCTTAATTCTAGCCTCGAGGGCCTCTAATTCGGTCTGGCCACTGTTGACTTGCTGTTTTCTAGTCATGAGAAAACCCAGTATTAGTGGCCGTTGGTCAAGGTCGCGTAATAAGAGAACTACGTCTCTGAAGAGTAGGGGACTTGGCATGGGCCATACCGCTTGTCAATTTGTTCGTCCAGGTCGGCAAGGCTGTTTTCAATCCGAAAGATATCCATCAGCTCTTGACTGAAAGATCGGGCAATCGTACTACACAGAAGAGATTGTGTTAGCTTTGGTGTGGCTTGAAGAATTTGGTTTACTTTTTGGTAAGGCGTTCCCCTTACTAGCGACGGCGAGAATAGCGGATAGGGAAATCAACGGGTAACAGCTAGGAAACTCACGATTGAGGTCGGCGGCCATTGGGTTGCCAGTCGCGGTCGAGTTCCTCGTCGGTGGGGTTCATGTTGGGCAAAAAATTTACGTTGTCGTCGTACATAAAGGTTGAATAAAGGAAAATGGTGTAGAAGTCGCAGAAGGCGTCCAGCTCAGAGTGCTGGGGGGGGGGGAGGAGCTGGAGATGGGTGGTATTATTATTGATAAAGTATTGGGACCTCAGTTGGCTTTTGGCGGTGGGGGATGAAAAGGCGGGTCGCAGAAAAAAATCGGGACGTAGGCTGGTAAAAACTGCCCTGACTTGCCTAGTAACTCATGGATGTTAGTATGGGATGGTTTAGTGTATTAGTGGATTTTAAAGGGACCGAATAAAACGAATAGCGAATAAAAAAGAGAAAAAGGGGGGGTCATGCGAACAGGTGGAACTCGAGCCTCGCGGTACCTGATTTATACCACCTGTCCTGCCTGCTGGTCCTGCTTGCCTGTCTTAGGTACTTGTCTTACTGTCTCGCTGTCTTTGCACTTGCACTTGCACTTGCACTTGCACTTCCGGAAAGGTAAAGCTGGACTTGACTGAAACACTTCCGCATAAGAACTAATTAGGTCGCTATGTCCGGAATAGTGATAGAGGTATGCGATGCTTACAACGGCTTATTTGACGAGTTGATGCAAGTTAGAAATTGCTACTATCTTAAGCCTGGAACTGGTAATAAGAACAGTACTGTAATAGGAATCAATAAATTATCATCTTATTGGAAGAGGCTGATTTTTTGTATCTCTTCACCTGGCTAATAACTATTAATTACCTTCTTGGCGTCCTAAGCTACTTTTTAGGATGAGCTCACGACGATCTCATCATTAGACGAGATGGTCCATGCATCCGAATTCAACAACGATGATCCAAATCAATTATTTTACTTCATCATGCAAACCTTCCTATGGGATACGGATGCTGTTTGACATTAGATTGACGATGAAGTGATGATGGCTTGCATAAGCTTGTATGCGTATTGCCATGTACATAAAATAAATCATTCAATATTCTAGTAACGTTCCTGAATTACTTCCCTACCAGAATTACTTGGGACTTACTTTGGGATAGGTACTTAATCTCCCTTGCCTTTATGCACGTCGTAACTGTTCAAACTTCGGTCCCCCTTATTCTTGCAGGAATGTTCTATGTAGGGTAGTATTATTCAAACGCTCCATTGAAGGCCTACTCCATTGAAACCAAACCTCTTAGGCACATAAATGCGGACGCTTAGACGCGCGGGAAGCCGAGCTATTAGTTAGGTAGTTTACTATTAATCGTTTAGACGTAGCGCCTCTCTTTTCGCTTCCTAAAGTTGTTCCTTCATATTAGATTTTTCTTTAATAGGTTAGACATCCTTTAGCTCAGGATTCGTTCGGTAAGTTCTTATGGGGACTCATAAGTCTCGTGGAATTGAGGTCAGGCATACTCATCTCGAGGACTACCTAACTAGTGTCTAATTAATCATTTGTACAAATATAAATATATTATACTACATAGTATTCCCTAAGCGTCAATGTCAACCTTATGACATCGACTAGTCTATCTTCATCCTGGCTGTCTTGGACTGGGCACGTGCCTAGCAAGATCGCGTGTCTTGCTCACATGTGAAAATTGAAAGATCTAACTGTCACGTCATCTAAGATAAGGATCTAGATGTTAATTACCTACTACATATAAGAAATAGCAACCTATGATGAGACTGGATGTGATGACCGTTAATGTTGGCTGGTAGGTGGAATACCCTTGCTATTCGGGTAGTTGCTTCTTAGCAACTACATGTACCTACGTAGTATGTTGGGTAGAAAAGTGCCTTATTAGATTTCGAAAAAATTGCCTGCGCTACATATATGCAGGTAAGAAGGAGATACCTGGTAAAGCTTCACAACTGGGCAGTTATTAATAGAAATGAGCTCTGACATGAAGAAGTTGAGATAGAACACAGTTAAATACATAAGAGGTAACTATCTGCACATATATGACATAGGTACATGCATGATACGGAGCCTTTAAACTCTAACCTAGGAGGTAGGTAGTACTTAGGTACCTACATAGGTAGGTTAGTTCCGTAGACTGTAGTAAGTAAGGTAAGAATGCACGGACCATATGCACTAACAGGAACGTTTGGACCTACGAACCCCCCCCAGATTCCGCATCCCAACCCGCTCCAACAATCAATCTGGCAACATTCGCCGATCCATCACACGAATCATATACCACCGTAGCCTGCGACCTTGCGGATTACTGAATATACTTATTTTAATCACGTGATCCATTGCCAACGACAAGGAACCGTGAAAAATATTCATCGCGAATAGCCTCATCTAAAACCGGCCTTAATAGTCGCCGTTCCGCCATTAAAGTGGTCGGGGTGGTCTTAACGGACTTCTACGACCCTTGTGAACTCTTATCGTACGCGTCATAACCGTGTTTTCCCCGCCGGAGCCGCTTAACAAAGGTGTATTTAGGCTTGCTGACCGTGACACTAGATCGTGGCGCCGATTCATCTTTTACAGCGACGCGACGGTCCCCTCGACCCCGGCCGAGGTGGATTCTGGGGCATGAATCAGAACCCGCCCGCATATACCTCCCTCGAAGCATTTGCTTTATTCCAAGAGCTCAACAGAAACTTTCAGAACGGCCTGGTTATCGGTACCTTCAGTCGCGTCTCCGAGACCCTCAAGAGAACACCCTTGATATTTGAACAGGACGACTTTGATGCCGACCGACTAAGCCCTGAATCCCTTCAGAGCTTTGCCCTACAGCTACTTAGAGAGGAGCGGAAAGAGGACAGGAGACGGGAGGCCGAAGCCGCTGCAGAGAAGAACAATGCCGGACTGTCACCAAACTCCAGAAAAAGAAAGCTTCAAAGTCCCCCTTTGTCTACTTTTCAGGAAGCCCTAGAGCAGACAGATAAGCTCCCGATCCTGGTGGAGAAGCTCTATATACGATTTCGGGATAATCTAATTAGGGAGATCAGAGAGGACGAAAGACGGTTCGACGAGCTTCAACGAGAGCTTGCTGAGATCGAAAGGGGAGAATGGGATAATAGGCTTGTTCAGGAGCAACGTACGGAACCACCGGCGAGTAACGGGTTCCCAGGTGTCAACGATCCATTACCTGCGAGACCGGAAGGCCAAGTAGCACCGACGCCAACGCCGATACCACCAGTACAGATACAGGCACACACGCCGACGCCAATACCAGTACAAGCACCGACACTACCGCCAGCGTCAACGTTAACGGCAGTATCAACACCAGTTCCGGCTCCTCCCCAGACCCAGGATCACGGTAGGAAAACTGAGCCGCCGCATACTCCTCAGCCGCCCCAGGAGAGAAAAGCCGTACACTCAATTCCTCCATCGCTACCTCCACCTGCTCGTCCTCCCAGTGAAGCACGCCATATTGCCCCTGATAATAGGCCACAAGAACTAGGGCGTCCAATAAGTAATGCAACACCAGTTTTACAGCATCCACGGACCGTTCAAGGGTATCCCGCACGTTCAGGTTCTGCCACGCCTCAGCCACCCGTCGTTGATGGCCTTCAACGACCTGAAGGTGTCCCCAAAGGTCGAAGCCCTGCACCTATACAAACTAATCAACCCCAACCCCAACCCCATACTCCTACCCCTACTCCCGCGCCTGCTTTAAAATGGGAGCCTCCATATCAGCCTCCCCACCAGTCTTCTCCTCAACCTCCATTTCCACCTTCTTATCAACCGCCGCCGCCGCCGCTACAACATCAGCCGACCCACCAGACTCCTATTCCGTCTCCTCGACTCCCCTACAGTACGGGAGTCACCAGGCCTCCGACATATCCTCAGACCCCAACCAGCCTCCCTCAGCTACCCCAGAATTATGCAGGCGGTAGGCAGACTCCGGGACAGTACGGCCAAGCGCCTCGACCCTCAACACAAGGATCTGCGCCAGCATCTCCATCGGTGCTTTTACCACCGCAAAGTGCGGGCCAGATACCACCATCTCTTCAATCACTACCTTTAAACGCAACTCCAGACGGCGCAGGGCAACAGTTACCGCAGCGGCGTCCAGCTTCAATCCCTACGGTAAGCTCGCCGGGTTCCAATATAGGACCCGGTCCTTTCGCCCAGCATCAAAGTTCGCATGTGCCGACTCAAACACCTGTTCGACCACCTGCTGCGTTATCAGAGCCACACCTAGCTGCAAGCCCCCCCAAACCTCCCGTGCCGCCAACACAATGGTCTCCGGCACCCGGTCCGGCCCGGCCTTCATATCCTCCGCAGACTCCCGTCCAAGCACCCCTAGCGCCACCGACATCTCAACAGGGCCAATCAGCTTCCAAATCATATAGCTCACCATATAATCAACAAGCGCAGCAAGCTCAGCAAGCCGGTACTATTGATTCTACTCAACGCCCACAAGTACCTCCACTACAAACCCCGGTGGCGATACCTCAGCCTACGCGTCCACTGTCGGCGAGCCAAGAGCATACACCAGTAGCCGTTTCTCCTCATATTATAAGAGGACATGGAACTAAGTGGATATCAATCCCTACGCCTGCAACACCGCGTGTAGATGACGTGACCGGTTATTTTGATATCGAGAGTCCCGTCTACGAGCCAATTAGCCCACGTCCTCAGTCGGCCCAGTTACCGAAGACTTCTCCTGAACAGAACGGGAAAAAGGATATATCGAAGGCTCTACAAAAGCCCGATGTAACGCCCAATCGGCCTAGAGGTCGACCACGTGCCACGCAGAAACCCCCTTTAACGCAATCAGAGGAGGCCCCAGCGGACCCAGATCTCTCGGGAAGTAATATTAAGAACGAAGAGGCAACACCTCGGGCTCTCGAGGATATTGGACACGCGACTACAGCAGATGAAAGTGTTGCTACCAGGGACCAGCCTGGCCCAAGCCAGTTGTCTAACAAACGGAAACGTCAAGAGAGTCCTCTGAATCGGGCTACGCCAACACCGGCTACGCACGTTTTATGGACACGTTCGTTCAATAAGATTAGCCAATCTGCGTTGGATCAAATTATCAGTCATCGCCATGCCAACATGTTTGCGCATCCCGTGAAACCAAAGACGGCGCCAGGGTATTTCGAAATTGTGCTCCGGCCGCAAGATCTTAAAGGCATCCAGAAGGCCATCACTGCAGGGTCTAAAGCGGCATCAATAGCAGTGGCAACAATGCCTGATATTGATCCAAGTGCAACAAACGTCTGGCTTCCGATGTCAGTGGATCTAGTCCCACCGCGAGGCATAATAAATATCGCGCAGCTAGAGAGAGAGTTGGTTCACATGTTTGCGAATGCTATCATGTACAACCCGGACCCCTATCGTGGCTTCGGGCCTTCTTTCCTGAAATCGAATCGACGGGCTAGTCTAGAAGGTGACGGGGAAGACTACCGAGGCTACGAAGTAGATGAGAATGGGGTTGTAAAGGATACTCGCAGTATGTTTGGTGAGGTTGAGAAGTTATTAAGCGATCTCCGCAACGAGGTAGAGCGAAATGCGCCTCCGCCGACGGGCGTGCCACCATCTGCAAGCCGTAGCATGAGCGTAGCCGGTGGGGAGATGAACACAACTGAGGATGATGCAGATGAGCCAGCAGGGGATACCAGTAAAAGGCGAAGAATTAGGGGCTAGTAGTAGCCTTATAGCAAGTATAATGCTGATCTGGGTGAGATTAGCAATCTAGCTAATCGCCCATCCTTGAAGGGCGAGTCCGTTTCAATGTAGATATGCGCCGAGGTCAAGATTTAATTATGACTTTGGTTATGGACAAACCATTTTAAGAAGCTTTTTGGAATCTGATGTATGTGCATTTTTGAATATTTTTATATATGTATATACATATGACAGCAGCCTCCCTACCTATGAAGTACATGTATCGAATTATGTACATAGGGGGGATAATTGATGCTGTACACGGGCCAAATTGTTGCCCCACATATGCGCGCACTTAAGAAGGTACCTACTTCGTACATTACCTAATACCCGAAGTACCTGATGTCCTTATGTACATTATGTACCTAAGTTGAGCAATGACGACCCATCGTTTTGATATGAGAAATACAAATCCTAATGGAACTCTGCTAATGCAGTGAAGATACTTACTCACATCTTCCATTACTTCCTTTCTTTTAAGAATTCACATAGCACCGTTTCTGGCTTTGTGTTATACATCTTATTTTTGGAGGTACCTCAAATACTACTATCTCGAGTCTAACGAGTCGCGTCAAAACGCGTCGTCAACTGACTAACCTAAGCTATGGTGCCTCGGAGAGTAATTGCCGACTCTGACGACGAAGATGGAGACGACAATACACTAAGTCCTCTGAGAGAAGATGAAGGAATTGATCCCCCAGAGGATCCCCCAGAGGTAGAACAATTGAGCCCACATCACAGGCCGTCAAGCCCTGATGTACTAGACAGTCACAATCATATATCTGATACTACGGACCAATCCTTCTTTGCCAGTGTTTATGATGAGCAGCAAAATAGGGCTCTTCACCAATCTCATCTTATCGAGAATATAGTCCGTCAAAGTCAGCAAGCGAGCAGAAGTAGTGGGGAGATCTCGCTCCCAGTGAAGGGGAAAGGCAAGAAAGCCGATGCTTCTTCGGCCACGAATGTCACCTCGCCAATAGTCTTGGGCAAGCTTAGGAACGAGCCATTACTCTTCAGCGACGGTGCTTCTGGTGTAACCACACCACGAAAGAGCGCATCTAGAGAATGGGATGTGCCCAGTAGTGCGGAAGACGCAATGGTTTCAAGGACTACTAAAAGTTCGAAAGGAAAGAATGAGAAGTCGTATGGCAAGCGAAAAAGAAGCCAATCGAAAGCAACGAAGAGCTCTGCTGCAGCAGAAATATTCATGGGATATGATAATGCACTTGAGGAGACAGCCCAAGACACGGCTTTGCACAATGAGATGCTTGCCCCAAGTCACGGAGCTGGGCCATCACCACAGCCCGTATTCAAACAGAATGAAGTCTCACTCGATGACTCTGTGATCCGGGATACGGCGCCTATAGCGAATTTTTATATCGCTCAGAGCAACCTCACTACCATGCAGAAACTCGAATATGAGAAGGTTAATGTGTCGCAAAACGGATACCCTAGTCTCCCTGGTCCTCTTACTAATATAAAATCAAGCGGCATGTCGACGGTTGCATATCCAACACCTAGCCGGTATGCATCTTCTTCCGGGCCACCGCTTCCGTGGGAAAGAGACCCTGCTGCTGATGTCGAACCTGATGAAAGCGTTGATTTCATAAATGCAAGTATACTCAGACATCTAAAAGTCCTCAGCTTATCTAATGATTTTATAGATAATGTCTTCCCCAGATGTCATTGCAGCTGGCCATGATTTTACGGAGGGAAACCCGGCAGAAGCAGCACTTGTGGATACACAGGTAGCACACGATGAGGCCGAACCTCCAATCGGAGATACTACCCCAAAGAGCCTACATAGCAAGAGAAAAAAGAGGACTAGAAGCATACAAGATGAAGATGAAGATGAATTACAAGATGGACCTTGGGACCATGAGGCTGTTGATCGGTACCAAGACAAACACAAACGGAGGCGTAATGAGCCAAAATTAAACCCACCCAGTCCACATGGAGACGATGCTATCGAACTTCTTCCAAATCCACACGAGGAAATACTTCGGGAGCAAGACTACCAGGACCTACCCAGGGAAGAAACACATGAGACCGGTGATGCTACCCCTGAGATACCTCCGACAGCGCCGCCACCTGTTCCTTTCAATGCGCCTGAAAACAACCTGCCAGAGACTCAGCCAACCCCCCAACCAAAGAAGCGTGGGCGCAGGAAGAAGCAGGCTGTGAAAGAACAGACCCTGCAAGAAGAGCTGCCCGTCGAAAACCAGGCTGCCGCTCAAGAGGCACCCCCTGCTGTTAAAGACCCCGAGGTACAAATTGAGCCAGAGAAGCCTAAGAAGAAAAGAGGCCGACCTCGAAAGTCTGACTTAGCAAAGCCCGAAATAGCGCCGGCTCCTGAACATGAACTCCGCGCGACACATGAGGCTCACGAGGACGACGCCCAGCATAGCGAGATCACTTCGGAGAAGACTGAAGCGACCGAGAAGCCGAAGCCTAAAAAGAAACAAAAAGCCCGAAGCGAACAGAAAGAAAGGGATGAGGAAGATCCAACCACAGATAAGGACGACGTTGAAGACGCGTTGAAAGAAATTAATAGTAACTCTAGGCCATCTGAAGAACCAGTATCGGCTGAGGAAGTGCCTGCGAAACCCACCCCCAAACAGTTAGCCGATCAGCACAAGTCTAATGAGAAAGGAAGCACGGTCCCCAAGCCCACATCCACATCTTCGCAACCCAAGGTAGCGTATCGAGTTGGCTTAAGCAAACGAACACGGATAGCTTCGCTACTGAAAATCATCAAGAAATAAAACCAACTTGACAAAGTCTATGTCGTGGTAATTAGTAAAGTTATAGTTTAATGGTGCCAAATAATCAATTGCTTGGCTCTATAGCAAAAGGAATTTCCAAACGATTCAGTACCGAGAGAAATGGAAATGAAGATTATGAAAACTACCGCTTAACTTCTATTTTGTTGAAGCATCAACCAAAGGTCGGACATAACTATGGAGGTACAAGAAGCGAGGCGGCAGTTAAAGGCTGCCACGCCTCTTAAACGTGTAGATTTACAATAGATAACTAGGTACCTATATCTATATAATCCCTTGATCGAACAGTGCTCATGGAAGAGCTCAATTCTCTTATACTAATATTACCTCGGATTTGTAGATACCGGATTTTCTACACTTTCTACAAAATGGTTTAGGGCAACTTGGCACGGGGTTAAAGGGTGAGCGTATAATGGGAATGGAGACTTAAGTTACGGGGACACTTGTCCCTGAGTATGAAAGATGAAGATAGCAATCACTCTATTTTGTACACTCACAATTGCGTTGTATGAATTACCCCTCTCATTCTACATTGCCATTTGTATGTGATAGTTTTAAGGTGGTAGAAGGATTTCTTTTAAGTGACCAATATATGCATCTCTAAAAGCTAGGGCAGCCAACCCGATGGCATATCTCATATAAATAAGCCAGGCATAAAGAATACATTCGTGCTTTCTAAATACGACAAGCTACCAACACCAATTAGAGTGCAGCTATTGTTTGCTGTTGTAGGAGAGCAGTCTTCCAGGCCTCTAATTCCCGTCCGCAAGACTACCAGTCAGTCTTATGTACTAGGGTTGATGAAAGGGAGACATTTCACAATATTCTGTCCCTCAATCCATCTTGGGTATATACCACTTTCCCCGTGGCGTAGGCGTAGGCGTAGGCGTATTTTTCTTCCCTTTTCTTTTTATCCTCTAGCGCGACCCGAGCGGTTGGGCCTACAACCAGTATTCCCAGGTGCCCTTTTCTAGAGTATAATCTCTCCAAGGTTCTCGCCCTCGAATCCCAGCGTAGCCAGCTTCTGTATCTTCTTCTTCTCTTTCGTCTTTTCTGCCGCTCTCCGCTCTTTCGCCAACTTCTCTACTGCAGCAAACTCGGCCTTCTCGAAGCCGGGGGGCGGGTCGTCGTCTTTATCGAGGTCGATCTCGCCGAGGAGGAGCACGTTCTCGCCGCGGACGAGGAAGATGCCGTGGGTTTGCTCGGCGTATATACCTTTTGGTTGCGGGTCTGAGGGGTCGGATGTGGTGGCGTATATGCGTTCGACTGTGGACTGGAGAACCAAGTTTGCTGAGACAGATTATAGATGTTAGTTATAGAAATAAGAATGATATCAGGGAATTCGTACCAAACTGGTCCCAGCTTCGTAGGACGCCATTGAGTTTCCGACCATCTCGTAGACACACCAAAAGCTTTTCTATACCTGGTGGTTAACAAAGGACCTGAGACGGCGCTCATTTCGCCGCATCGATTGCCTTACTATCGGTGAGGTCTAGTAGCTGCGCAGCAGTGGTGAACATCTGTGGAGGAAGCTGTTGCGGTTGGGGGGCGGCGGCAGCAGCAGCAGTTGATGCTGCTGCTGCTGCTGCTGCGCGACCCAGCGACGAGCCGCCTGGTTGAGGTGGAGGATCGTGAATCGATATGTTCTCCATCATATCATTTGCTTGGTTTTGTTGTTGTTATTATTTGAGGCAATGGTGCTAGAGCTATACCGATCCATAGAGAAGAGAGTAGTTCATTCGGAAAAATAAGCTTAATGAGATTCACGCCGGTGTTTCCCTTACAGCGACGAGTGCGTGTGTACCGATGTCAGGCGCAATTTGCACTTAGCTGACGTCGTCTCTTTCATATGCTACTCACGCAAGAGGAAACCACGTTATTAGTCGGATTGGGATTTTGGCGGGGCAGAACAATGGGAGAAACGTTAATGCGCTAGTGTGCTTAGATAATACTATTGTCCAATCACAATGGGTCGAGCAGAATTATATACATACTGTATTAGCAAGTAAGTTGGGTATGCACTAGTTATACTATGACTTAACCTTCTAGAAACCCATCACGGCCAAAGCACTTGCATATCTAGTTCAAGATGGGGAAGACAGGGGACCGACTCCAAGTATATTTATCATGTAGATTGTTAGTAACGATAGCCATCGTATCTTCGCGCCTTCAAGCGTAAAACTCTTACATGGTATTCTCAATTTGACCTAACGGCCAGTGAGATGACAGGCAATTGTCATCATATATAAACAAACCCGCTAAGAAGAAGCTTACCAACTCGCATTCGCGATTGCCTTGTACCTTGGCGGGTATTACCGGATCTGGGAAGACGGGCCTAGGCTCGACAGGCGGGATCCACCTCTGCTGTTGCCGAACATCCTTGCTTGCGCATGTGACGGATAGGCCGTACTTTGGCCTTCGCTGTTCCCTCTTTCTGCGGGCTGGCCGCTGGCGGGACGGGTCCATCCTTATCCTTTGGCGTAGCTTCGTGTTCCCAGGTTCCACGGATCAGGATCTGACGAAACTTATCTTGGATTTTCTGGGGTTACATGTTAGATAAAAGCCAATAACTACACACTACCTACTTTAAAGTCTTTCGAATCTCCTTCCTCTTAGATGTCCCGCATAGTTTAGACGGAATTGAATATTTGGCAATTGAGCCTGTTTTGGTTCCAATAGGTCGACGCCATGCCGGGTTCTTCGAGAATGCCTATTAGCTTGCGCGAGAGCTTCGATAGCGTTAAGAAGCGATCTCGGACGATCGATCCTCGGCAAGTCTTCAATGTCGAGATGTAAGTGTTCATTCGTCTTTTGACACCATTTTAATAATATCACCAAATGTTACTGTAAAGTACATAAGAAAACTAATTATCCCGTCCCGTTCCTGTGTAGACTCAAGAACGTTATTTTCTTTTTCTTCGTACTGCGCATAGTCCGCCGAACGTTTTGGAAGCTGAAGGGCCGTGGCATCTTCGGTACTATAGCAGAATTATACCACGATGTACGACGTGTACTATACGGTTATTTCCTACGTGCCCCGGGAGTTCGGACCCAAGTACGGAAACAGATTACCGAATCGTTAGCAAAGATACAGGCAAAGATGATACCTGCCGACAGTACGCGATACACGACGTTACCGAAGGAGGGCTGGACGGATGACGCCCTACGAGCTGAGCTCGACACGTTGGCAAATATGGAACATACCAGATGGGAAGATGGCTACGTGTCGGGTGCCGTATACCATGGCGAGGAAGATTTGTTGAAGTTGCAGACGGAAGCCTATGGAAAGTTTACAGTTTCGAATCCGATACATCCGGATGTCTTCCCCGGAGTGCGAAAGATGGAAGCCGAAGTTGTCGCAATGGTTCTCTCCATGTTCCATGCCCCACCTAGCGCCGCCGGAGTATGCACCAGCGGTGGTACCGAGAGTATCTTGATGGCATGCTACGGTGCGCGGCAGAAGGCATATGCCGAGCGTGGTGTAACGGAACCCGAGATGTAAGTCACGTATTACGTATTACGTATTACGTATTACATGGTCTATACTTCGGAATTACTGACTTGACGGGTTATAGGATCCTCCCGGAGACGGCACATACGGCCTTCCGGAAAGCTGGCAACTACTTCAAAATCAAGATTCACTATGTACCTTGCCCTGCTCCGACATACCAGGTGGATGTTCACCGTGTATCTCGTCTTATTAATTCCAACACAATTATCCTTGTCGGTTCTGCCCCCAACTTCCCTCATGGTATTATGGACGACATCCCGGCTCTATCCAAATTAGCCCTGAAGCGCCGTTTACCGCTGCATGTAGACTGCTGTCTGGGTTCGTTCCTGGTCCCTTTCCTCGACAAGGCCGGTTTTGAGACTGAACTTTTCGACTTCCGCCTCAAGGGCGTCACCTCTATCTCCTGCGACACGCACAAGTACGGCTTCGCGCCCAAGGGCAGCTCCACCGTCCTCTACCGCACCCAAGAGTTGCGCACGTACCAATACTTTGTCTCCCCCGACTGGTCCGGCGGCGTGTACGCTTCCCCCGGCATCGCGGGTTCCCGCCCCGGTGCCCTCATCGCCGGATGCTGGACCAGCATGATGCGAGTCGGTGAGGCCGGGTACATCGACTCGTGCGTCAAGATCGTCGGATGTGCCAAGAAGATCGCCGAACACGTAGCGTCGTCCCCCACCCTCAGCGTGGAGCTCGAGGTGCTCGGCCGCCCCCTCGTCTCCGTCGTCGCCTTCTCCGCTCGTAACCTCAACATCTACGACATCGCCGACGGCATGAACACCAAGGGCTGGCATCTCAACGCCCTGCAGAACCCGCCCGCTATGCACGTCGCTGTCACCATACCCATCGTCAAGGTTTGGGAGCGCCTCGTTGCCGATCTCGAGGCTGTCATCGAGGAGGAGCGCGAGAAGGAGCGCGTTCGCGCTGTTGAGGGCAAGGCCCTAAAGGGTAAGGCCACGGGCGATACAGCAGCCCTCTACGGTGTCGCGGGCAGCTTGCCGAATAAAGCCGTCGTTGTGGATTTGGCGACGGGCTTCATAGATTTGATGTACAAGGCGTAATGAGACTAAGATGAATTATCCTCTTATGCTAGAATTCGAAGGGGAGGTAGATGATGTTATGATAGTATGTGTAGCGGATGAAGCGACTTGACAGCCACTAGGCATGTAATAGGACAGACAGTGTACGTTAGGAAAGGGAGAAGGTAGGCCGGTCATCGAGCGGGTGGCCGGGGTCCATTATTGGTCTTCTAATGGCTGTACATATATATATATATATATATATATACTCGGCAAGGGGTCTACGAGCATAGGGGAGGTGGTAAGCCCTATAAAAGGGGCCGTGAAAAGGGGGGTTGGGGGGGGGGCCTACCATGCCAAAGCTATGCATATACATGCATAGGTATGTATATTTCATCGCGAGACACAGCGAGTGGATAGTATAACAACAACAACAACAAAGTCTTGAATCAATGCTGTTAGTTACGTATTTATGTACATTGTAGAAAGCTGCTCTCCGAAATGACCTTGTTCATGCTTTTTATACACACCATCCATGCCTTGATGCAGAGTAGTCGTATCGTTCCGGCCGCCTTTCTCCCACATCCATAGTCCCGTCCTGCGCCATTTGGAAGTAAAGGCACCGGAGAAGCGGGATGAAAAAGGAAGACCGAAAATATAAGAGAAAAAAACCGCCGTGTCCCAAAACCTATTTAATTTTTGCCTATTATGTGTCCCCTGATTTGACCTTTTAATCTCCCTTCTTACCTCATATCTGTCCCGGCGAGCACACGCATCGATCCGAGATTGGGGGTCTTAAAGTCATACAAATAGATGATCATAGCTCTGCTTTCTCATCATCCATGTGGGAAAAGCGGCCGCCCTCCTGGCTGATCATAGATTCCGCGTCGCCGACCTGCTTACGCTCCGAGACCTCGAAAAATTTGAGCCGTTTCTGCATCGTTCGCTTATGCGGCAACGTCAATCCTTGGGACGATGTCCACTCCCTCATGACTGCTGATTGCTATTGTAGGGGCTCCGAAGAGCTCGACAAGCGGTTGAGGTGTAGATACACATCCGTTCCATACCTAGATTCCGAGTTAGTCTTATGGTGATGAGGTAAATCCAAGATACTAAATCGACGTACCCTTCCATGCTAATCAGCTTCAAATCGCCACCGAAATACCGAGCGTAAAGCCTCGAGATCGGCAGTCCGTAGCCAAAGCCCGCCATCGGTGCCTTGAAATCGCTCTTATCAAAGTCAGGGTCCAAGTTAGGGGTCCGGTCTACGGTCGTGTACATGTACGTCCACACTAGCGGGATGGCGCTTCGTGGGATTCCGCCACCCTCGTCGCTGATCTTGATCGTGATATCTTCCCTTCCTTCCGCAACAATGACCTTCGTTACTGGAAATTCCTGCTTGTCTTGCCCGTGCGTCTCGACAACAGCTCTTAACGAGTTTTTCAAGGTCTCGAAGAGCATGTGCGATAAGTGACCAGGAACGTACATAAAGTTGAGATCGGGGTTACAGACAAGTTGGATCTTGGGTGCTTCGAAGAGTCCATAGTGATCTTCGCATACAAACCGAGCATTCTCGATAGCCTCTTGCGCCAAATCCCGCACGTTCGTCTTCGTGCAGATAATACCAACGTAAGTAGGATCCCGATGATGGCTCTGATCCGTCAAGGCGATATGCTGGCCGATAAGCATACGAATACCTATTCGAGACATGTAGAAACGATCTAAGAAGGACTGTATATTGTTGTCAATTTGCATCCGTTGTCTCTTTCGCTTGTATTCAAGGATTCCCTGTGCCATCGTTGTGACAACGCCGTCATGCCGCCTCTTGATCTTGTGTAATGTCTGTGCAAATTTGGAGTTGTACGCTTGTAACTCGGGTGGCCAATCGCCATTGTCGTCTACCATAGCGAAGTATCTCCTTGCTGCTTGGTACTTCTTGCTGTTTCCTAGGCCAATTTGTGTCGGCGGCGCCGAGGCATACTGGCCTTCACGAATGCTCGGGTTTGGAGTAGCTTCCGAGAGCAGAGATCCCCTGCCGTTGCTGAATTTGCCCGGGTTCAAGAGTCGATCCCGCACGTCTCTTGACAGCTCGGGCCGTCCGATATTGATGATCTCCTATTATCAC